TTATAACAATTAATGTTTTCCTCAATCCTCTTTGCCACCCTTTTGGAAGCATGTATGGGGTCATCGTCCGTCATTAATTTTGGGGTTTCAGTAACTTTACGAAGATATGGCACCAGCCCAGTTTGCAGTACTTCAATAAATCCTGAAGCATTCATCATGCCTTCAAAGAATACTATTAGAGTCTTCCCTTCCCAACCAATCCCAGCCCATACATGATCTTTCACAGGATGCTTGGGTCTATAGAAATTACACAAACATGTACATTGAAAATAATTTTTACACTATAACCTTGGTTTAGGCTTTGGCTGGGTCCCCTTCTTTTTACAACAAAATCTCCTGTAAGATTCAAGCATCACACTAGCCTCATCTGTCCATACAATGTCCTTAAACCCATCATTCATAGCTTCTTGTAAATGAGCTTGTGCCCAAGTTAACCTCTTTTTCTTAAATGGTCATTAATACATGTACCTGTAAATACTATTGTCTCACCTTGTTTTCTGAACATATTATTTGGCAGTAGGCACTGCCTCTAAAGGTCCATCCTAACTTCGTTCTAGAACACAGAATAGGCTTTAGTGACAATGTATGTTGTTTCTCAGCTAGAATTCGCTGAAGCTGTACAGCAGTGGTCTCATCGTCAACTAGCTTCTGCTCTACTACTATTCTTAGGACCTCATGTGTTATTTCAGAGGGACGACCAGAACCTAAAGTTTTTTATTAATTATTGTAGTAAAGATATTATACCATAAAATGATGATTATACATATGCACTTCGTATTATTACTATTGTATATACAGTAGTGGTTAAATGAAACAATAGACTGTGTAAACATATCTCTTGAGGAACCTAAACACACCACTAATTGTAACTTATAGGCCATCCTTATTCATCATTTCCACTGTAGTGGTTGATCTGTAATCCATTCATAGCCAAAATAAGTGTCTAGTACATCTAAACTTGGGGCTTACAATGAAAATAAAGCATTCTCTGCTTCTTATAGTCGCTGTAAACCATTCTCTTTATCTCCTAAACTGAGTATTAAACTCCTTTCCCGCTCTTATTATGCAGTTGCTATGACAACATACATTAAAGACGCTAATTTTATTATCAATTATTATTGTTATTAAAATAAATCAAAAAATCAATACATGTACATTATAGTAGAATTTTGGTCTCACAACTTGAAGTTCAACTACAAAAGACAAACCACAATGAATAGAATAACTGAACGAAGTTGACTCAACCTGCATGGTGTTACTGGCACTGAAGCTTTTCGTCTTACTTTCCACAGATAGCAAAACTCTGCCACTAAAAAGAAACTGTTGTATTGCCACAGGAACTGCAGAGACCCATGGGGCAAATAGATCTTCGAAGAGAAGCTCGACAGTGGCTATTTCTCACTCGACTCAGTTTCATCATAGATTGCTCAAATGCACTTCGCTTCGCTCCGCCTATGCTTCACTCCACCGTTATACCCTTCTGTAGCTACCCTGCGAAATATGACGGGCGTATGAAGCAAACTACGGCATAGCTACACTTGGCTACCTAGCTTTTTATTGCACAATACTGTATCAAGAACAACAAAGTGTAATAAAGAAAGGTAAGCTACAATAACACACATACATGTACTTTTATCTGTACAGCTTATTATTGTACCAGCATCATTAAATAAAAAAATTATCCTTGTACTAAGACTGCCATTTATTTGTTTATAACTATCAAGAACAACAAAGTGTAATAAGGAAAGGAAAGCTATAATAACAAACATACATGTACTTACTTTTACCTATACAGCTTATTATTGTACCAGTCATTCAATAAAAAAGACATACTTGTACTAGATTGCTTTTTATCTGTTCATAACTATAAAGAACAAATTGTAATAAAGAAGGGTAAGCTACAATGACACACATACATGCACTTACTTTTATCTCTACAGGTTGTTATTGTACCAGCATCATTGAATAAAATAGTCATACTTGTACTAGACTGCTTTTTATCTGTTCATACCAATAAAGAACAACAAAGCATAATAAATAAATGTAAGCTACAATAACAAACTTTTGTCTATGCAGGTGACTGTTTCGTACCTGAAATAACAGCCATTCTTGCTATTATACCTGTATTGAAGTTGTGTAATAAAAAAAGGAAGCCGCCTACTTCTTAGTCAGTTGTATAAACTTATAGGCACACAGAATGAAGCAACAGCTCAAGTCCGAACTTCAGTTGTACTAGTTGTTGACAGTCCGCTGGCCGTACATACTTCATATCTGAAAAAATCATTTATTACTTACAATATTTAAACATTTTCAGTCATTATACACTTACTTTTAAGCTTCTGTTGTTAGCTTTAGTCCTAGAAGAGAGTAAAGGTAGGAAAGAAAGCAGGCAACATAATTCAGGAGTTAGAAGTCATAACGGTGGGCGTGGTCACCTGCCCTATGTTACATGGGCGTGAATAGAAACATTAAAAATCATTTCTACAATTTTGCTGACTAAAATGGTGGCAAAAGAGAATATCACAAAGCGTCTAGAGACAGAAATGAATCCAATTAGTTATGTGGGTGTATCTGTAATACGCATGCGCATTACTCCATCATGGACAAAATGGCTGCCACCATTTGAGTGTTTTTCATATTTCTAGTGCCGTCTTTGTGGTTCTAGGCCTTTTTGCTAGTTGCTTGCATGAGTTGGATCAGCGATTAGACTAATAGACACCTAGGACTAGGTAATTTATTCTCAAACTATTATAAATGATGCCTTTTATTCTGTGACTATTGTCATCACCAATAGAATGAATCTTCTAATTATTCTTGTGTGAAGAAATAGGCTTTTTAGTCTATCCTGTGTTATCATTCGTTCCTTCCAACACAATTACTCATTTCAGAACTCTTAAGTAATGTCTCATTTTAACCGTCATTATGGGGAATATGAGTGATTTAATAGGAGGTTCATTACTCTGAGAATGCCCCAGGGTAGGGATTTTTTTCCAACAAAGCCTATAGGAAGACTTCGCTAGTTTGATCAAGTTACATTTCGAAAATGCTAAGTTTACCAACAAGAGCTGAGTTCAATAGCAGTTGAGTGGTTGTTTAACTTTCCTTAAATTTAGTAGTGGACTTTACTGAAGGGAACCGCCCCAGAGGTGGTGATTGAATCAAATAATTTGAAACCACAACTATGCCCCAATATGACCTGTACTGGGATAGTAGAGCTTGATATTGATATGTACACGATAAATATATTGTAAATGTCTGCTGTTGTATATTTATTGTTTAACAACTTGGAGGCGAAGCCCCCTATAATTGCATTCACCGTCGCACTATATATATATATATATATATATTTGTTTGTCCACACTTACATTTCTTCTATACATGTTGTATTGGAGAAATAACAAGCCTTAGTAACCACCCACCCACACTCCTTGACATGAGTGGGGAGGTTACGCCAAACAAAATGGCGGCTTACACATGGGACAAAGTTAAGAGCTTTCTAACAGCAAGAGAGTGTAGAGATATTGTCTAAAGACTTCTATAGAAGCATTATAAGGTAGAGAGAACCTTAATAAGTCTTTATAGTGACCCAATTGTACTTGCAAGGTGGTGAAATCAATTATACGAATATTTTTACCCTGTTTCGCTTGTTATAGGCATTTTATACCTTGCCAGCAAATTGGAGCACAAGAGGTTGCTCATGAGTTTTTGGTGACAAGTGTAGTATGCAACTAGGAGCTCAAGTAGGTGCAAGGTTGAGGTGTAAGCTGTGTATAATTATAGACCACTTGCAGTCAAAATTGATTGCGTAGGAAGATTACTAGAAATTTATACAGTTGTAAGGTGTGGTTTAGGATGAAATAAATTTGGCTGCCACTTTGGTTGACAATTTTTAATGGACAACAAATGGGCTGGCATGAAAACCAACCTATATTGAGAATTCTGGAGCAAATTGGACCAAATCTTTTACGGAAGCTTAAAGGCAGCTCTTTTTTCTTATAACAAGCACATTTTAGCTTTTGATAGAGCTACAGCAGGTAAGTGAGGTATTTTCTTTCTGCATTTATTGACTTCTTTAACAAAGTTGCCAATGAAAATTGAAGCCATGTATGACATGTGGGCAGATACCGTGTATAAAATTAATTAAATTTGTTTCCAATTCTCACTTCCAGTGGTCTATAATTAGTTTTTAAGTCAGTATAGTTTTACACTCATAAATTTTTTATTCTTCATTAAATAATGCAAGCAATGACATATTCGAATTTACAGTACTTCTGACTATTAAAGCTGTTAGTTTTGTAGTTTTGAATTGACATGTATACCGTATTTCCTTAAATAAAACCTAGGGTGTCTATTTCCTAAAATGTTATTTGGATCTCGAAAAAATTTATAAAAAATAAAAGAAACTTCAGCCAAGAGCGGGATTCGAACCCGTAACCTCATGCTTTTAACTTCCGGAACTTCAGGCATTATCCACTACACTACTGAGTCACTCCTAGGCTAGTGTTGCGTATTTATAGTTAAATTGTATTGCTACCTCAGCGTTTATTTGAATGCAGCTTCTATTTAAGGATTTACAATACTATTTTTAAAATACTTAAAATGTCAAAAAGCTATCAGTATTCTTCACGGTGGTGGAGGGAACTCTGGATGTCATATTTCCATGAAGATGTTGGTACTTAATAGAATACTTATTCATGAAATAATTTATTTTATTATGCTACTAATGTTTAGAATTGTAGCTAGAAATTTCTTTAATTGTAGCTAAAAATTACTGTCGCCCAAAATTTCTGTGAATTTTGCAGATTTTATTGTAGGAAAATCACCATGCCTTTCAATGTGTACTAATTTTAAGGGATTAAATTTCCAGTTTTCGAAATCTGCAAAATTAGCAGAAATTTTGGGCCTCAAATATCTAGCTCTATGTGTATGGCATTTGAAATGAAGGGTTGATTTTTAACATCTTACCTCTGTTAAACAGATAACATTTCCCAAAGACTGGATATTATCCACTCTTTATTTCCCTTGGCACTACTTAATGTGACACCAGTATATTTCCAGGTCAGGAAAAACAATTTTTACTGTATAAAATTTTTTTGTTATCTGTAGAATGACATTCCTGTCCAATTATTTTTAGAGATGAAAATTGGCTACAACGTTGTTTGTAAACATTAATGAAAAGTACATGTACTTTATACATTTATTATTAATATTGCTTATTTCTTGTAGATGCAACAGAGTAACCTGAAATTAATGTGTGGCTAAACAAGCATTTCTTCATGTTTGAACTGTTTTTTTACATTTTTGTTTGAGTCATGAACATTTTAAATTGAAGTACAATTTAGTCAGTACTGCGCATGCTCAGATTGCGCACATGCAAATAATTGGATTCATTCCTGTCTCTAACGGAATGTGAGAATATGCTTGCACTTGTATCTCAGCAGGATTATGTCCTAAGATGGCGTCTCAAGAACCACTGGAATAAGCAAGGTTTAAGCTTTTATTTGGAAGTAAGAAATCATTTTCCGTCATACCCGCAAACTGGACCGTTTTCGTGTGCTGACACATATGATACTTAGATTACTTCTAATTGCTCCTTAAAGCACTGGAAACTGCTGATATCATGATCAGTGTGCTAGATAACTTCGTAAGAGGCTTGGTAGTAATGCAAAAGTCCAGTATTTGAGTAAATTCATTCCGAGCCTAGCCATAAGGGGTGTGCCAAGGCCCCCTCAGCCATTGCTGGATATGCACGCACCTGCTTACATTGTATCCTAAGTGCAATGTACAAAAATTTCCGACAATATCCAGAGCTTCAGTTGAAGATTGACCAAACTTCTCTTCATCTACTACTCTAACGTCTTCTATTAAGCTATTAAATTGCTTCTGTGAAGAGGCACGGTCAGATGATGATGAAGAAAACAATGTCAAATTTTTCTCTATCTGCATTAGGTGTATTCAAAGTATGGGCAATGTCTCTTAATTGTTTAAGCTCCTTTGAAACATCTTCTATAAGTGTGCATGCTGTCCCATCAACAACTTCATTAACAGCAATGGCAATGCCACTTACTAGACTGGCAGAGCCTGACCCTTGTGTAAGTTAGGAACAGTGCGTAAATCAAAATGGTACTGAGATGTATGGCTTCGGGTGGGGCTGGTTAATAATTGGGTGTGACTGGTTAATAATTGGGTGTGGCTGGGTGTGGCTGAAAAGTTTTAGGCTTCTAGCTCAACACGTGGAAAGAAATGGCTATTATAGTCGGTTTCAGTTGAGTTTGACCACTGACTCACCCCTATAACCTCTCTATTATTTATGCTAGCAACTTGAAACTTGGTATAGTTGCGAAACAGGTTCTTCCGAAAATCTGTACCGATTTTGGAGTCTCTCGGTACTCTGGAAGGTTCTCAAAAGGTTCTTCCGGTCAACATGAAAGGAAGCCGCCATGATGTTTCATGACGTGAAGCTTCGTGAATATCATTTGCATCTCATTAAATATGTCAATCATGTTTTTATTATTTAAAAATCAAATAAAGCAAAAGGAGCACTCCAGGCCAAGATATAATTGAACAAGAAGACTTTGCACTCCAGAAAGAAGTCTCACTTAGTCTGCTGTACCTCTCTAAGCCTTCGTTATTTGTCTTCACCATTGCCGCTCAGAAACTCCGTTGAAATTTTGCATCTCTCGATTCTTTCTTCAGGTAATAGCAAGCACAAAGATCCTTCCATGTCAATTGCAGGGCTAGCAGTGACCAAAATAGGGTAATAAACAAGTTACAACAAGAAGGAGTATGATGAAATTTTCAGCCATTTTATTTGCGTGTGGGTGTGGCTACATGTGACGTTTTGATGATAAAAACATCCGGTCAAACTCAACTGAAACCGACTATAGTTGCTGTGGATGCAGTAAAGATTTGACAGTCCAGCAGAAAAAGTTCTAATGCTATTCCAGTGTGGAAAAGATTTGTGACAGAGAGGTTTCAAGAGTTAGGATTCAGCTGTGATTTCGACAGAATTTTGTGTGATGAAGAAGGATTTCCTTTTAACAAATGTCAACCTTGTCCTTTATCCTTATATAGGTAATACAATTATTTTCTCAATACTATGTAATAAAATTTTATGGTGTAGATATCAGAAATTAGAATCTAGTATTAAAGGCAACATTAAAGAAGCAGTTGAGATGATGAGGATGGAAGCAAAACTAAGATAAATTTGAGAAAGGGGGGAGCAAATGATGATGAAAAAGATCCTGATAGTAGTAGTGTTGTTTCTAGACCATCTAGGATAAAAGTATTGTTACCAAATAGTGCCAGTTCCACACAACTGTCACCAGATGTTGCTGTTAGTATAACTTACCTTGGGGTGGTTGCAACACTTAATTTTATCGTATTTAGCGAGTGTACTTATAATGCTAATTCAACCAGTCGCTAATAATGGTTATGTACTTGTGTAAACAAGTACACAAGATAGGCAAGCTCTGTAACAAGATAAAAATAGATAGGGTGATCCTGTTAAGTGTTCTGCTCTTAAATGTATAGAATGGGCTCCTTGAGTTGTGTTATGCTAATGAATGGGGGTTCTACCATTGATTTTCTTCTTAATTCTACATGCAGCTAATTGCTCTAAAATTGTATGTTAGGAAATTTGCTATATGACAGTCTAATGTTACATTTTTCATTGTGTAATAGGTATTTTCAAGATTATGCCCAATTGAATTATCTGTATTTTATACAAGCCTGATGAAGCTTCTTGATAACCTAGGAAAGAATCACGATAAATTAGTTAAAGCCTGCAGAGATGTTTTGTCTGCTCAATTAGTGATGGAAGTTAATGATGAGGTATAACATTATGGCATTAATATCTTTATTTTGAATAATTTAATTTTGTAGAGGGAGGTCAATATGATTCGTGACTTTAATGATATTGATGACATTTTGGAATCAGATTCTAATTCTTCCTTATCTAGTTCCAGTGTTGCTTTTTGTGATTATACTTATAGTAGTGATAGAGAGTTAGCATATTCACCTATAACAGCATCAGACACAGAAGTAGACACAATAAACGTAACAGAATCAGACACAGAAATGATTCCACAAACACTATTCAGTTGGATCACACTCTTTATGTATCAGAAAATACGAGAAGTCAGTCAGTTACTGCCAATGATTCATCCCCTATGCTTGATGTTTCAAATGATTGCCTCATATTACCTTCCTATAACAAGCTTGTTGGAGATAATGTTGATTTGACCGTAAACCCAGGTATTTGAGGATGAACAATAAGGTCAGGTCACTTCACTACTACCACCCTTATGCAGCACAAAATTGAATTAATGTTCATAATTTAGTACCACCCTTATGCAGCACAAAATTGAATTAATGTTCATGATTTAGTTAATGAAAGACCATCACAATTGTCTATAAGTGTTTAAGAAAGGCTAAATCTCTATTACCAACAGCGAGTGATGATAATGCCATTGTTAAGAATATCAAAGTACTGTTTGCAAGAATCCTATTTGACACTCTGCAGTTCTTTATGATGACATGAAGATCTCATAGTAGAAGACATTACGCACCATTGTTATCAAGAAATGTCATCCAAGTCAGTTGTTATAAGTTATCTATACATATTAATCGATTCACATCAGCAGTATAATAGTAGTAATAGGTGACGTAATTTTTGTTTGAAAATATTTATAGTGCATAAATGCATGCACCTACTGTAATAAATTTCCATTGGGTGTCATACTCAAAAATGAAAACAAGATCAAAGAAATGGTTGAAATACTACATCATCTTCACCAATACTTTTTACAGATTGAGTATCAAGAACACTATGTCTTAGAATCAAATGAGGCTCTACAGGTGACTTTTGGTTTCCACTGTGTAGAACATTGAGTGTGAAATTTGGTGTTACATTTTGCAGGTAGCAAAGGCGAAAACATGTTGGGTGATGCTAGGTAGTGATCAATCATCTGTTGTGATAACAAGGTCAGCTATCAAAGTGAAGGCCAACAGCCCACTACCTTCTAAACGGTTGGAAGGCATCCTGCCAACAATTGAAGATTGGCATGCGAAACTTAGTTTGCTTGAAGTAAATCAGCCTTTTTAACATAATAATTGTAATCGAAGTCCGTATAGATTATTTAGCAATATTTTTTTTCCAAAAAGTCACAATCTGAGCATGGTACTTTATACCAGTTACGAAATGTGATTGGAAGAACAAATGTTGTCAACAAACCTAAGAGAGATATGAACTCTTGTGAAGATTTTCTTCTTTTGTCAATTAAGAGTTAAATGACTGCATCAGCTATGGAGATGTTGGGCATAAATGCAGTTGATGAATGGCCAGCCAGTTTACCAGAGGAAAATGGGTTAATGATATGGAAGAGTGTAGAAGTAAATGGAAGCAATACTGTTGAAACTAGTTGATAAGTTTACCAATGTAAGGTTTAACGAGGAGCTTGAAGAACCTGAAAAATGCATAAAGGAAGACAAAATTCCGAAGTACTCCATCCAATTTCTAACTATTGGATCCATTTATTTAGAAATTACAGACTTTGTGAAAGAGGGAGATGGGAAATGAGTTATATGATGCTGGAAATATTTGACAATTATCTTCCGTAATGCAAACAGAAAAAAACAATGCAAAAAAGGCAGTTATTCTACCTTAAGGAGACAATTATTAGCATGTAGTTATTTTAGCAATTTTCATGAAACTGACATTTGGCTGGTACTTAATTTAGCATTTTTGATCATTTGGTATTAATAACTTTTAGAAGAATGAAAGGGACAAGCCTAAGCAAGCTATACATATGTGCTGTGATCTACATGTATGAGCAAGCAAAGCAATTGCACAAGTCTAAATACAGTAGATCTTGTTGCATTAATCTTCCTTAAATTGCTTCATCACTAACTCTGCAGCCATTAACATGAAAAGTTATGTTGCTTACAGTTAGAAGCAGTTACTGAATGAAGAACATTGTCATCTGCTTTTTTAACTTATGCTAACTGCTAGAGAAGTCTTTGGACAGCAGTTTAGTATTATCTTGCTGACCCTTTGCTGCAAATAAACTCAGACTTGCTGACAGCCACCATTTTAATCATTGTGACCACACCCACTTTCAATTAAGAAATTAAAATT